TGGTTTTTAGGCAGATTTATCTCTTGGATGATTTTAAGTGTGTTTATAATCAGTAATCACTTTTGCCTGCCTAAAAATATAAAGAACAGCAATAAACTCAACAGAAGGGTTGGTGACAATGAAATTCTGTTGGAAGAAAATACAATTCTTCTACCTGAAAAACACTTTGGTTTCTATAAAATATAGTTTAGTTTTTTTCTTCCATAGATTGCTATATCCTAGGTAACCATGTTACTTTCATCTTTTCAACCATAGCATCAAAGCTTAGACCATAGTTGCATTCTATACGTAAGCTTTCAACTCCTAGATTTACAAGTTTCTCACTTGTGAATACAATGTACAGCTTAACTTACTATCATGCAGTGTATGATGCTGAGTTTCCCTGGAGTATGATTTGCCCTCCCAAAACAGTGTTTCCTTTTCTGCAACTGTCAAATTGTTATCAAGGAGCTATGGATAGGGGAGAGCAAGGTTCCACGTCAATTACATCTCTGTATGAACAAAGATTCTCAAACAACTTCCCAAGTGGTCTTTACTTACTATCAGCTAAAGATAAACAGGTCTGTCCTAAGCAAAAAGGCAAATATGGCACTGCTCCCAGCTCCTATGCCCTTGTGCTGGCATCACTGACATGAAAGTAAACCATGGTGATCTAGAACGATCCAGTTTTGTGTCTACCATGCTGGGCCAGCAGAAGAGGCAGTATTCAAGGGAGAGAATCCAGGGAGTGATGACTAGGCTCCAGCAGAAGAGATGCTGAGGGCTGGATGATTGCTTGTGCAAAGTGCTATAAGAATGTCTCGTTAACTTATAATAAACTTCATTTAGTGATTCCATTTATTTATATATCTATACCTGGTAAATCAGAGAAGAGAAGGATGCACTCATTAAAGCCATTAGCCAAAAGCCGGTCCCGCAGCTGCTGAAGAATTGCTACTCCAATACAGAATGGGAAAGAGGAATTCCCAAGCAGCAAGGTATCCCAGAGGTGGAAAATTTTGTGCAGTGGAAATACATCTGTAAAATGACAAAATATAATTACAATAAAAAACTAAATAATGAAAATTAAAACAATAACAAGCTGCTTTACTAGACATATGACAATTACCTTAGGGTCAAACTATTATTTAAGAACAAATACTACCGAACTGTTTTTATAAAATGTTTATTTGCCTTTGTAAATATATTGCTTTTTAAGCCATCTTAAAAAATTGGTAATCAGATTGGTCAGAGACATGACATTTTCTAACCTCCGTTATGAATCTTGGTATAGTTGTTCCTTCTATTTTTTCCTAGAATTTCCCAGTTATATTTATTCTCATAAGTTTATTTACCTAGATGAACTTTAGTATTATTTTATTATTTTTTGTTTTACATTTTTTTGTGTGTTTTAGCTGAGCCATCCTGCCACCTGTTGGCAGCTGAACGGCAGCTCAGCTCAGGCTGGGAATCAAACTGGCGACCCTGTTGCTCAGAGCTCGCACTCTGGAGTAAGCTCTTAACCAACTGAGCCACTCGGCCAGCCCCATTATTTTAGATTTAGTACTGTTTCATTTCTATTGTGCACTCTAAATAATTGCTTTATTAAACTCACATAAAAAAATCCAATTAGCAATTTTCTATTTTTTGCAGCTTTCTTTCTTTCATTTAACAATACTGTAGATACCTTTCAAGACCAATGAATGAAAATCTACTTCAAATATGTACTCCGTTTAGCATGTGTATATATTGAAGCAGGATAAGCACTGTATTAGTATTTGTAACTGATGAAAGTATTACACATTCATATAATCTGTGTAATTTCTAGAGGGGTTCTAGTTAAGGAAATAACAAAAATATTAGTTATTAGAGAATCTCTAAAAATTAAGCCTGATTTGGCTATAAAAGTTACCTTCCAAAACTTTATGTAAATACTATAGTTAATGTTAATTTCTTTATTGATAGAGGACAGAGACTTTATGAATGTCACAACATGTAAGATAGCTTTTCATCCTACATGATACTCTTTTTGATATTCAGCAGTCAGAACAATTGAAATTTTTTTCTACCCAACTCTATTAATTTAGAATTACATAAGGATGCGTATGTAATGAAATCTGCTGGTACTATCAAATATAATGTACTGGGAAAGAATGGAGCTGTCCTTTTGCTAATACAACATCAAGAGAAAAGGGAAAATTATACTTACGAGTAAACATGGTGAGAAACCAAGGGATGGCATAGAGCTATGAGTGGAAAAAGAAAGGGGTACAGGAAATGGATGGGTAAAGAGGAGAAAAAAGAGAATTAGAATTATTACATATAAATATAATGGTAAAGAAAATTCTATGTTTTGGTCTACTCCATTGATTAAAATATAAGAGAATGTAAATAATGATAATTATTATCGCATATACTCTATTAAATAATGATACCTATTACAAATGCCACAGATGACCCTTATGCCAAGGATTATTCAACAGAATGTTTTCAATACATCAGGGATACACTCAAGACCATGCCTAATCCAAACACAATACTAGCATGCTAATTTCAAGGGCGTCCTTTTCAGGTTGTACAAAAATATTTTTGAGATTTAAGTGGTCCTCATTAGATTTGAGTTACCCTTACTAAATGATTTTTAGACTGGATGAGATGATACTTAATGTCCAAAGTGTTTCAAAAAAGGTGTATTGAAGCATATGCTTTCTAAATTAATAGGAAGCTTCGTAACAGGTTAAAAGTCATAACATCTAGGAATGAAATAATTTGGTCTGTTAGCTGATTGACAAATTTATTTTCCTAAGTTTACTGTCTAGGAATAAACACACACACACACACACACACACACAAAAATTTAATTTTGTAAGATTATGAAAGTGAGAAATCATTCTTAATTTATAAAAGTAGAGTAAAAATTTTTGTCAACAGCAAATATCAAAAATCAATAGCATGGGGCCGGCTGAGTGGCATGTTAGTTAAGAGTTGGCTTTGGATGCCAGCTCTGAGCAGCAGGGCCCTGGTTCGGATCCCACACGGGCCAGTGATGCTGCGCCCTCTACAGCTAAGATGGTGAACAACAGCTCGACCTGCAGCTGGGCTGCTGTGAGCCGCCATGAGCAGCCATCCAATGGCTGGCAAGCGACTGCCTCACCTGGGAAGAGCGCAATGATAATACCAACATGGGCCAGTGAAGTGACATCCTCCACAACTAGACTGAAGGACAAAAAGGACAGCAACTTGTCTGTTCCCCTTCCCTGATTCCCCAACACTGTTCCCCTCCCCCAATTTCCCAATAAAACCTTAAAAAAAATTCAATAATATGGAAAAATCTGAAAAAACTCTAATTTTATTTTATTTTCAGCACCAACATAGCTACTATTAAACAAAGATTTTGGTACTACCTATAAAGTCTAGACATATTCTTTCGGTACCTTTCAATTATGAATTTATGAGTAGAATTGCATATATCTTTTCATTGCACACAATTTAGTATTTATACTACCTAAATGCCAGTCAAGAACCATAAGTAAAATACATCATACTATATTCAAAACTAAGTACTATATGTGAAATAAATCCCATTGCTCGCCACAAGATCATCATTTATATATGTTGATACATAGACAGTCTTTTTAAGTGACATTAAAAATGGGAAAATTGAGGAGTACAAACATAGTTGTCTTCACCGTAAAGAATATGGACTGTAAAAAACAATAAAATATAATAAAATTCAAACTCTTTAGCCTAATTTAAGTTTAAAAATAAAGTCAGTAGAAATTAGTTTCAACACTAATATTCAATTTTTATTTCTTTTAAGGATGTGAAATCGATCACATTTCCCTCTTCCCTCTGATCAAAGCCAAGTGTTTGTCATTTGGAGTCTTTCTAAATTATTTCAGCAACTAGTTAACAATTCATTTTTCCACAAACTGAAGAGGATATGTAATGAGGAAACTACACACAACAGGGAAAGAATCAGAGGGAAAACTTGTCAGGCTGACACAAAAATAGGAACAGTTTATCTTACCACAGGCCAGGATGAAAAGCAAACAAACAAAACAAACAAACAAAAATCCCCAGTAATAAACAAGGTATCAGCATACTCATAGGGTGTTGCCTTAGTAATGGAGCAAAATTATGCTCTAAAATTATGCTGTCCTGGTCTCATTTAATAAAACTTAAAAACAAGCCTTAAAAGGATCAAACTCTTTCAATGTTAATTAACTGCATCCCCAAATAAAGCTTAAGAGTACTTATAAGAACATAAAAATATATAATACCCAACAAAGTAAAATTCCCACTAGAAACCAATAAAACATACCAGCAGTGCAAAGCAACAGGAAGAAAAATGACCAAAAATGTGGGCCAAAATCATTCAATCAAAATGGATACAAAACTAACCTACATATTTGTAATTGTAGGCAAGGACATTAAAATACTTCTAATATCGGTATTCCATATATTCAAATATGAAGGAAAGATCAAACATTTTAAGTAGAGATATAGCAGATACAAAATAAAAATCAAATCAAATTCTAGAGATCAAAAATATGTCTGAGATAAAAAAATACACTAAATGGGATTAACAGCATAGCAGACATTGAGGAAGAAAAGATTAGTGAACTTGAAAACAAAGCAATAGAAAGAATCCAAAATAAAATAAAGACAGGAAAAGAAAAAAAGAAAAAAACCCAACATGTCTTGTGCATCAGTGAACAACTTCAAGCAGCTGAATATATGTTACTGGAGGCTCCAAAGGAGAGGAGTTAAAAGAGGGAGCTAAAAAAATATTTGAAGAAATAACAGCTGAACATTTTCCTAATTTGAAGAAAACTATATGCTAACAGATTCCCAAATCTCAAGAACCAGAAGCACAAGAACCATGAAGAAAACTACACTAAAGCACATAATGCTCCAATTTCTCAAAATTCTGTGGTAAAGAGAAAAATCTTACAATGTAGCTAGAGGAAAAAAAAACCATCAATGAGAAGAATGTTTTCTTGTTGAAAACAGTGAACAACAAATGACAGTGGAGCAAAAATTTCAAGTATTAAAAAGAAACCCAAATCTTTCAACTTAGATTGTATGCCTAGCAAAAATACCATTCAGAAACAAAGGTAAAATAAACTTTTGCACATACAGAAGCTGATAGAATTCATCACCAGCAGTTTCCGCACTACAAGAACTGCTGAAGGAAATCCTTTAGGGAGAAGGAAAATTATGAGATGAAAATCTGGATGTACACAGAAGAGTAAAGAGACTTGGGAATTATAAATATGTTGTTAAATACAAAATACTTTTATTTAAAAATAAAGTCTTAAAAACTTGACTCTTAAGGCAAAAAATAATTCATTGTGGGGCTTATAACACGTAGAATAAAATGTAGGACAACAATAACAAATGCTGTTGTATTTATAATACACGTGAAGTGGTAAAATATTACTTGAAAGCAGACTGTTAAAAACTTGAAGTGTAGTATAAACCATAATTTCTTGACCTCAAAACTAATCACGTTTTGGGTTGGACAACTCTTTCTGGCAGGAGTGGGGTGGTGGTCATTGCACTTGGCATTTTTAAGATTTCTTGTAGCAACCCAGCCTCTACCTACTAGATGCCAGGAGCACTCGCCTTCTCTTGTCAAAAATGTCTCTAGACATTGCCAAAAATCTCTGGGAGGCAAAATTGCCCATTTATGGACCACTGTATAAATCCTTAAAAAAATCAATAAGAAGACACAACAAAGAGTTATAGCTAATATGCTAACAAAGGAGATAAAATAGAATCACACACAAAAAATATCCAATGAATCCAAAGAAGGCAGATAAAATGGAAAAAAAGAAAAAAGGAAACAAAGAATTGATGTGGCAAATAGGATAAAAATAACCAATGGCAGATTGAAAGGCAACCATGTCAATCAATAATCACAATGGTTCTGTGATGGGTAATTTTATGTGTCAACCTGCCTGAGCCACGGGGGTGCCCAGATATTTAAACATTATTCTGGGTGTGTCTGGGAGGGTGTTTCTGGATGAAATCAACATGTGAAGCAGGTTACCCCTCTAATGTGAGTGGGCCTCATACAATTTGGTGGAAGACCGCTGTATAAATCCTAAAGAAATCAATAAGAAGACACAACAGAGTTATAGCTAATATGTTAACAAAGGAGATAAAATAAAATTTGGTGGAGGTCTGTAAGGAACAAAAGGTGGAGTAAGGGAGAATTTACGCTCTCCGCCTGACTGATAGGATGTAGCAGAGAACAAAGCACAGTTCCAGCCGGTGAGGGCCTACACTTCGTAAAGAGCAGTAGATGTTCAGTAAAGGTTCTCTCAGTCCACTCCAGTTAGGGTCTTGCCTTCGACCTTACCACCCAAACTGCTCTTGGTCATCGAAAATTTCCATATTGCTAAATCTAACGGCCAATTCTAATTCTCAGCAGAGTTTGACAGGGTTGACTACTCGCATCTCCTCAAAACATGCTTTCCCCTCAGTGAGCTTCTGAGACATCACATCCACCTGGCTTTCTTTCCCTTTCTGACTGCGCCTTCTCTTTCGCTGGTTCCTTTTCACCTCCCTGACTTAAACATCGGTGTGCCTCAGTTCATGCTTGGACCTCTTCTCACTTTCTCCAATTCATTACACACAGTGTAGGAACTCCCATATTTATAGCTCCATCCAGACCTCTGCCAGAATTCCAAACTCATATGTCCAAATGCCTACTCAACAACTTCACTTGTATGTCTGTTATACACACGACATGTCCCAAACTGAGTCCCTGAGACTTCTTCTAAAATCTGTGCTTCCAAATATAGACTTCCTAATCTCAGGTGAGGGCAACTCTAGTCTTCCAATTGCTCAGGTAAAAAATTCTGGAATCATTCTTGACACTTCTTCCCCCTGCATTGTACACTTATCACCAACAGTCCTGATGGCTTTATCTTCAAAATATACCCAGAATATGAAAACTTCTCACCACCCCTACTCTTAAATTCCTGATTCAAGCCACCATCATCTCTCGCCTAGATTATTTTACAAAAGCCCATTACTAGTCTTCCAGATCCCACTGTTGCTCTCCCTGGGTGTCTCTTATCATAGAAGCCAGAGTGATCTTGTGAAAATGTTTACATCTGAATATGTCACTCTGCTTAACAGCATCCAGTGGCTTTCTGCCACTGCCACTGAAAGCTAAGCCTGCCCTCTAAGACTCTCTGTAATCTGGCCCTGCAATGACCTCCTGACCTCA